GGGATTTCACCATGTTATCCAGGATGGTCTTGATCTCCTGACCTTGTGATCCGCCCGCCTCAGCCTCCCAGAGTGGTGGGATTACAGGCGTGAGCTACCGTGCCCGGCTCATAACATATTAAAGTACCTGCACCAGGAGTGGGGTTGATGTTAGAGTTGGAAGAAAATAGAATGAATTAGAATCTCACATCATGATTCTTAGATTAGTATATAAGGTGGTGTGCCAGGGTAAAGCCACAATATCTTCTTAAAACTTATCTTTTCTTCATAATAAAAACTGTTAACAATTTTAAAAGTATTTTGTAACCAGTCTGCCTTTTTAAAAATTTATTTTTGTGTACCCCCAGCTTCATTAAGGCATAATTAACGAAAACTGTATATATTTACGAAATACAACATGAGATTTTGGTTATACTTTGTGAAATGATTACATCAAGCTAGTTAATATATCCATCACCTCACATACTTAACCACTTAAAGGGTGCGAACATTTAAGATGTGTCTTAGCAATTTTCAAGTATATTCTACATTATTATTAACTCTGATCACTGTGCCATACGGTATATCTTCAGAACTTATTCACTCGTTCTAACTGAAACTTTGTACTTTTTAACCAACATCTCCCCATTTCCCACCCGTACTCCTAATCCCTGTTAACCACCAATCTACTCTCTGCTATGTTTGACTTTTTTAGATTCCAGATATAAGCGAGATCATGCAGTATCTGGCTTTCTCTGCCTGGTTTATTTCACTAAGCATAATGTACACCAGGTTCATCCATGTTGTAGCAAATGACAGGATTTTCTTCCTTTTCTAAAATTATTTTTTAAAATTTTTGTAGAGCCTAGGTCTCACTATGTTGCCCAGGCTTTTCTCAAACTCCTGGCCTCAAGCAATCCTCCCGCCTAAGCTTCTGAAAGTGCTGGGATTATAGGCGTGAGCCACTGTGCCCAGCTGATTTTCTTCCTTTTTAAGAATGAATAGTATATCTATTTCTTTATTCATTCATACACTGATGGACACTTAGGTTGGCCTGAGGGAAGGGGTGACCTGAGTAATGTAATACTGTCTTTCCCCCCTTCTTCAAATATGTCTTTCCTTATTGCTGTGTTACACACAGATTCTATAATCTCTCACCATGTTTTCTTAGCTCTTATGAACATATTTTTTATTTTAATTTTTATTTTGAGTTACAAGGTACATGTGTAGGATGTGCAGGTTTGTTACGTAGGTAAACATATGCCATGGTGGTTTGCTGCATCACCTAGGTGTTAACCCATTTATACCGGAGGTTGCAATTTTTTTTTTTTTATATGAAAAATCAGACCTTGGCAATGACCTTGAGCTGTAAGATATAAATAATTCCCACAAGCTTGGCATTCCAGTAATGGAGCACCAGGCATAAATGGTTTGAGCTCAGTATGCATTAGCTATTTTTCCTAATGCTCCCCCTCCCCCACCCCACCCCCTGAAAGGCCTCAGTGTGTGTTGTTCCTCTCCCTGTGTCCATATGTTCTCATTGTTCAGCTCTCACTTATAAGTGAGAATATGCGGTGTTTGCTTTTCTGTTCCTGCATTAGTTTGCTGAGGATAATGGCTTCTTGCTCCATCCTTGTCCCTGCAAAGGACATGATCTCTTTCCTTTTAATGGCTGCATAGTATTCCAAGGTATACTTGTACCACATTTTCTTTATCTGGTCTATCATTGATGGGCATTTGGGTTGATTCCATGTCTTTGTTATTGTGAATAGTGCTGCAATGAACATACACATGCATGCATCTTTGTAATAGAATGATTTATATTTCTTTGTGTATATACCCAGTAATGGGATTGCTGGGACAAATGGTATTTCTGGTTCTAGATCTTTAAGGAATTGCCACACCATCTTCCACAATAGTTGAACTAATTCACATTCCTGCCAACAGTGTAAAAGCATTCCTCTTTCTCTTCAACCTCACCAGCATCTGTTGTTTCTTGACTTTTTAATAATTGTCATTCTGACTGACATGAGATGGTATCTCAATGTGGTTTTGATTTGCATTTTTCTAATGATCGGTGATGTTGAGCTTTTTTATATATGTTTCTTGGCCACATAAATGTCTTCTTTTGAGAGGTGTCCACTCATGTCCTTTCCCCACTTTTTAATGGGGTTGTTTGTTTTTTTCTTGTAAATTTGCTTAAGTTCCTTGTTGACTCTGGATATTAGACTTGTCAGATGGATAGATTGCAAAAATTTTTTCCCACTCCGTAGGTTGCTTCTTTGCCCTGATGATAGTTTCTTTTATTGCGCAGAAACTCTTTAGTTTAATTAGATCCCATTTGTCAATTTTTGCTTTTGTTGCAGTTGCTTTTAACGATTTCATCATGAAATCTTTGCCCATGCCTATGAACTGAGTGGTATTGCCTAAATTTTCTTCTAGGGTTTTTATAATTTTGTGTTTTACATTTAAGTCTTTAATCCTTCTTGAGTTAATTTTTGTATAAGGTATAAGGAAGGGGTCCAGTTTCAGTTTTCTGCAT